TACAGCTCGGTTCATCTGATGTTGTGACATCACAGCCCTCTAGGTGGATGTGACAGGACATCAGTGGTACATGAGGGATATGGAGATGCAGGAGCCTTAGGGAAGGATGCACTCTGGTGGTTACTCCATTCTCAAAATAGTGGCACAATGGTGTACCCAGCATGCATTTCCTCTTTGTGACAATGCAATCATGCGAACTTCAAGCACCTTCCTATACTGAACTCAGGTCCTACAAGAGGGGGCTCTCCTGTAGCTAGAATTGCAGGTATTCATGGTGGGAATATGGACTGCTGGAGATATCTGCTTACATTTTACTTGCAAGGGAGAGTTCCTCCTGACTCCTAGCCAATCCTACCTGGGTACTTTTCTTCCCTCCCCGTTCTACTGTCCTGAGTCTTTGTGCGTCAGAGGGTCTTTATCTCTTCTTTGCTAAAATCCAGTGTTCCCCCGTTGGCACTCTTTTGACATATGGTTATCTATTTGTTGTTTTGGCCTTTCTTTATGGTCTACCATATTTTAGAGTGGTGTGTACCTATTTCTCTTGAGTCCACCCACCATCTACTTAGTGTTTTGCAAAGCATAAAATTCATGCCACTGCTGGAACATAGCCCTATGTCTCATAGAATTTTAGAGACATAGCACTTAAATATATGAGCTTAGGATAAGCCCTGGGAAGAAGTTAAATGCCCTTCCCAGGGTTCTAACAGAGGCCCCTAGCCCACCTTCTTTTCCTCCTTTGAACCATGCCCTACATCACAAGGGGTCTCCCATACATGTCTATGGACTCAACAACCCACATATCTAAGTATCAAATACATCCTGCCTACCTGTCTCCTCTTGCCTACCCCTCACACTTAGGGTACATACACACCAGCAGCACAGTCCTTCTTCAGCAGGATAAACATGGGGAGAATCTGACGGATAAGTATTTGGAGCGAGCAGTGAATGTCAACGGTGAATACAGTCTGAAAAGACCTGCGCCTTTGACCTCATGGCCTACTCTTCCATGGGTGGGGAGGAAAGCCCAAGCAGGGTCTTTTAAAGATTGGAGTTCAGAAGGGGCCAAGCTTCTGGAGTTCAAGGATATACTGTCCACTCTTTCTCCAGCAAATGTTCTTCTGACCTGTCTAAACACTTCAAAGACTCATCACTACATAAGGTGCTTCAGTATTTAGCAAAAGCCACAAACTCAAAAAGCTAGAAGAGCCACACGGTAACATAAATGACGGAAGGAGGCTGATGCACATCCTCCAAAGAAAGTTGTAGGGAATGTGATGAGCTGGAAAGCACATGTGCTTTCCTCCAGGCTAGAGGAAGCTTGAGCTCAGTGTCACCGGATCTTCCAATTAAAAAAAAAGCCAGAAATAAAAAATGTATAATTTCTTGCTTTTTAAATGTTAGTAACTAATTCAAAATTTGTTTTAAACACTCTGTGAGGCCAAAAAGCCACATTTGTTAGTAGGTTTTGGCTCATGAGCTAGTTTGCAGCCTCTGAAGAAAAGACTTCTTCATTTGATTGTGTTGAAATCTGCTTCCTTGAGAATGCACACATACAGAGGAATCAAAAATCACTATCCCTCTTCCATATATCTCAGATTGAAGGTGGATCACATTTCCCCAAGTATCTTTTGGAGACTACTTAGACAAAACACATTCAACTGCTACTTCTACAGAATGGCTTCTATATCTCACAGTGCTGCAACCACCCACCTCTAGAAGCCCCCACTACCATCTGTTTTCCTGGGAGAGCAACAGAATGAACAAAATATTTCAAAGATGATTGCTTCCCCTTGCTAGTAATTATTTTTCTTAGTATTGCATGCCTAGGTCCAGAAAAGGAAATAATGATTCAATCATCAAGCTTCTTGTACAGGGCTGGCGATTTCAGGAAGTAGAAGGAAGACTAACACTGTGAACAGCATTCTTGATTAGCCGGCAAGTATAAAATGAGGTGTGTATTTGATCTACTGTCAGAGTAGCAGATGGAACACAGCAACCATGACACGGTAGAGGTAGGACTTAATGGATCATCCTCAAGTGCCTGGGACTGATTAGCCGTGGTGCAGCTACATGCAGTTTTTAATTGATTGATTTGAGTTTGTGGTCAGAAAATGACTGTCGGCTCCAGCTTATCTATAATTATCAGTAATCAGAACCAGACTTCTCTCTCTAATAGGCCAGGGCTCTTCCAGCATGCTTGACTTTTATACTTTTCAAGACTTTCTGTAACCACTGCCTGAACGCCTTCAGGGTCATAACATCATACCTGCTGTCTATCGGGAGAAAGACTCCAGGGAAATGAACATAAAGGTAACAAGAACACTGCTCTTTCATTAGCTTCATAGTTTGACTATTTTGGGTTCAAGACAGTTTTAAATTAATATGAGGCCTCTTACAATTTAGGCAGTCTATTATAGGCAAAACCAAGTGAAAGACTGAAATAAGAATTCCCGTAACTCTAGCCCAAAGCTCATTTTTAACCTAAAAAAAAATGATCTTGACACTAATTAGAGACTGGAACTATTTCTAGGAGTCAGAGTGTCCTTACCCTGGGTAAAGCACCATTAGCATTTCAACAGACCACCCAAATCAGAAAACAGGGAATCATTCTAGACCCCATGTCCTCCTCACAGTCCCCTGTCCCCTGACACATCCAATCACTAAGATATCTGATTCTACCTTTTGAATCTGAGTGACGTTAGAACAAGTATCCTGGAGTCAAACAGACCTGGCTTCAAATCCTCCTGCCATCACTTATGAATTGTGAGACTTTAAACAAGTCGTTCTTTCTCCTATGCCTCATTTCTCTCAACTCCATTGCAGAGTTACTATACCTACCTTAAGGGATATTAAATAATGATGAAATGAGACAGCGTATGTATCAAATGCAGCGTTTGATGTATATGTGCTTAAATATTTATTTAAAATATTATTATTGATTTGCTATGTCTCTATCCTCACCAGTACAACCTAAGTACAGGACAAAAAAAAAGTCATGACTAGATGAAGAGGACAGAGGAGGAGGTTGAAAAAGAGAGTGGAGGAGGGGAGAAGAGGGAGAATGAAGAGGAAGAGTAAAGGAGGAGGAGGAGAAGTTTATGATGGTGGTGACGGCTACCTACCTTCATTGCCTCTAAATGTGAATTCCCCATGCTGCCACCTTGGTGCCACAGCCAGATGCCTGGGGGTATACTTGTACCAATGGTGCTGCCACTAACTGAAGTTACAGGGCTGTGACTGCTGAAAGCCCATCCACCACCTGCTACTGCAGACTGTCAATCCACTGTGCTGTAATATCTTTTACTTCTGATCTCTTAAATGCCATGCTTTGTCACTTCAATCCCAAAGATGCAGTATCTAGCTCTTTCAAAAATCTCTCTGACACTTTGTGAGAAAACAGGTCCTTTGGCTTTTTAGAGAACCCGACTCTTTTATGACCAAAAGAAGGATTCTTAACCCCATTTTAGAAATGAGATAAACAAGGTTTTTAAAAAGTTTTTTGAAGTCACACAGCAGAGCCAGGATCATCTGATCCAAAGTCCAGGTTACTTATGTGAAATAAAATGGTCTCATCTCTTTCCTGTGAATTCACTGTTATAGGTGCCATTTTGTCTATGCTTTCTCTTCTTCCCTGACAGTGGAGAAGAGCAAATGCTGGAGGAAGGACTCTGGCCTTGACTCATTCCAGTCTTCCCAATCTCAGCAAGGCGAGCAAACAGTTTCAGGGAAGGTTCGCAATATCACCGGTGTTTTGCTATATGTTCCTTCCTTTAAGGGGCTCTGGTTTTGAGAATACATAGAGAAAATAGCCTGGATTTAGGATGAAGACGTGAATTGAAAATCTGGCTCCTTCCCTTCTATCATTCATTAACGGATTTTCCTGGCGCCAGGCTCTGTTTCAGGCCTGGAAATACAATAATAAATAAAACAAAGTCCCCGCTCTCATCCAGTAATATTCTTGCAGGAGAAGACAGAAAATAAACAAACGAAGAAATAAACAGATAAAAGCCAGGTGGTAACAAACACCATGAGAAAAACAATGAATCAGGGTAATGATAAAGAAAGTTGGGAAAGGGGTTATTTATATAGGGTAGCTAAGGATGGGTTTGAAGGAGAGGCAACATTTAATCAGAGATGGGAAAAAAGTGATAGATTACTGGCAAAGAAGACAGAGCAGGTGCAAAGGCCCTGAGGTAGGAACTTGTCAAGCTGTGTGGAATATGGCAGCACTGAGTTCAGGAAGCAAGAGGGAGAGGTGAGATCCAGGTGACTGGGAAAGTGAGGGAGTCAGGAATACATGATATATAACCTTAGAAGCCCTACTAATGCTTTGGATTTTACTCTAAGGTATATGCCTGTGAAAGGCTTCAGCAGAGGAATGGCATGATTTGCTTTAGGTTTTTAAAAAACTCACTTTGGCCACTACACAGGGGCCAAGGTACAGGTGGCAGTTAAATTGATTTTGCAATAGGTCAAAAAAAGTGGTGGCTCAGAGATGGAGGTGACAGTGACAAAGGTGTCAATGGCAAGCGATTTTTCAAAGGCAGAATCATTTAGCAGCTGGGCTACTTCATTTGAGATATTTTGCCCCTCCTGGTTCAGGTCCCTCATCAGTAGCATGAAGATAACAGTACCAACCTCATAAAACCACAGTACAAACGAAATGAGATGATTTGTATAAAGGCTATTCCTGTTGTTTTCCTGTTATTCAAGACAAAGTCTCCAACCTCACATGAAACTGTATTGCATATACACTTGAAAACTGAGAGGTAAGAACACCTGTATTCTGAGTAGCAGAAACAATTTTGAGTATAGCAAAATTATTTACACTCATCTACCTCATCCTCTTAAATAAGAAAGCTGATTACTATAAATATGTCTGCCAGCTTTTATGGTTCATATTAGAATCTTAGTGCATCAAAAAGCATAAACTGGTTAGACAAGTGAGGGATAAGGAAATCATGAGAGAGTCTTATTTATAGAATAAAAGCCGAGAATACCTGAAAACATCTTAATCGTGCTTATGACTGGTGGATGATATTGCAGAGTTTTAAAAAATTCTTTGTGCTGGCCGGGCACGGTGGCTCAGGCCTATAATCCCAGCACTTTGGGAGGCCGAGGCGGGTGGATCACGAGGTCAAGAGAACGAGACCATCCTGGTCAACAAGGTGAAACCCCGTCTCTATAAAAAAAAATACAAAAATTAGCTGTGCATGGTGGCGCGTGCCTGTAATCCCAGCTACTTGGGAGGCTGAGGCAGGAGAATTGCTTGGACCCAGGAGGCGGAGGTTGCGGGGAACCGAGATCGCGCCATTGCACTCCAGCCTGGGTGACAACAACGAAACTCTGTCTCAAAAAAAAAAAAAAAATTCTTTGTGCTTTTCTACATTTTCCACATCAATACAATGAAAAATATATTTTAAGAATATTTATTCCTATATCCATTTAGCAAAGAGAGTTTGAATCTCTCAGAGAAAACATGAGACAAGAAAATAAATATGTTAAAATTATGAGGGAAAAAGGGCAAAAATTAATGTTTTGTGTGTATTATCTATACATAAGATACATCAAGTAGATATTTGATTTTTGCAAATTAGTTTAATTATTTATAACCTGGACTAAAGATAGCAACAGATTCGTGAGACTGAAAATGACAATATTTAGGAATCTATGGTTTATTATGGGAAAAGGATACAATAGAGCAGCAGCATTCAAGTAAAGAATGTACATTACAGCAAGGGTCTGCAAGGGCCAGGCCCACACTTCAATTATCCCCTTTTTAGAGGACCACTGTAGCAGGATTTGCCTTTTTCACCACAAATCAGGAGCCACTGAGGTGTGCGTGGAACACCTCAGAACCAGTGAGCCTGAGATGGAGCCTGGCCTGGAATTTTTTTTTTTTTTTTTAGTTTGGCCCTGTCACCCAGGCTGGAATACAGTGGCATGATGTCAGCTCACTGCAACCTCCACCTCCTGGGTTCAAGCCATTCTCCTGCCTCAGCCTCCTGAGTAGCTGGGACTACAGACATATGCCACCATGCCCAGTTAAACTTTGTATTTTTAGTAGAGATGGGGTTTCGCCATGTTGGCCAGGATGGTCTCGATCTCTTGACCTCATGAGAGGTCACCTTGGCCTCCAAAAGTGCTGGGATTACAGGTATAAGCCACCGTGCCTGGCCTGGCCTTCTTATACCCTGCTAGTCCCATGGATATATCCCTGCTGTGTAACCAGTCCCAGTGGCAGTGCTTTTGAGGTCTGACTGAGATTAGGTGCAAAGTAGCAGTCTCACTGTTATTAAGAAATAATGGTGAAAAGCTGGTACTAACTTTCCCAAAACTCCTGAGACCCATGGTTACAAAGTGACACTGTTAATCGGTACCTTTCATGCCTCAGCTTGAAACTCCAGTCTTACTTCTTCCTCTTTAAGGCGACCATGCTTTCTGCATTTCATCTGGCTCCTCTCTCTGTGGATACGTCCAGATGATTAGATCCCGCATATACAAGGAGAGAATGAAGAAAATGGTGACCTGCCTAGTCCAGTTACAGGGTAAATTATCTGTTAGGTAAGCACAGAATCCCTTCTTTGCATAAGTCTAGCACATTCCTTAGGCTAAGCATCTCCACCTCTTTTCTCTGCCTTGCAAATATCTTATTCAGTTATCATATCTTGGTATGAGGAAGCTGTGAGGGGGTGAGAATAGGAAAGTATCCTGCCACACAAATAAGAAAAATGAGATTCAGAAGGTCTACGTGACTTGCATAGTCTCTGACCCTAAAGAAATCTAACTTAGTAAAGCCTTTCCTCCTTCATTAACTTCCCATCTCTAATAAACCAAATTTGTGCATTTCATCCGGAATCAACTGCCTCTTTTGCCGATTTTGAGATAATGGCCAGGCCCCCTACTAGCTCACACAACACCTTTGTGCCAGTCAGAAAAGGCATCCTTTCTACCTGGCACGTGCAGCCCCACACTGGCCAGAGCTCAGCCTCCCTTTACCCTGGGCATGGTACCACAGTGCAGGTTATAGCCTCCATGACTGTACTGCAGCCCCTTAATATGGCTGGACAGCTAAGGTGACTCCCAACACAAAGAAACTTCCTTGTAAATAGCTTGTTGACATTTTAAATTAGAGATGTCAAAACTTGAGGATATTATCTTCTTCACTAAGTCTTTTTCCATTTTTTCCGTTCCCATCAGTGTCCCTCCCAGAAAGCTCTGCCCTCAATCTTGGAATCAATATTTATTCTAGCTGGCTTGTCTTCATCCTCACATCCAGGTTGACACCAAATCTTTCCAATTCCTTTTGAAAAATAGCAATTATATATTTTTTCCTTCCAACTGCAACCCTCTTTTAGCCTGTGGATTTTATTCTTAGACTCCAGAAACAAATTCCCAGTCTGTTTTATATTTTAGCCTCTTACAATTCCAGGCCTTCCAATGCAACAACAAGAATCATATTTCTTGGCCACCATTTTTAATCATGTTAATCCCTTTCTCAGAATACTGCATCTGCAAAAAAAAAAAAAAAAACCACCAAGGTTTTCATACTCTCTATTAGTTTTAACTCCACAAAAATCTCCGTAGTCTTACAGAGCACTGCCATGGGTTTGGTTGTCCAACATTGCCTCAGACCTGAGACAATGTTTAGTTATTAGTATGTTCCTAGGGCACCCCTTGAGACTAAGAGCTGTGAAAAAGAAGGGAAAAGGATTGGGCAGAGGGAGAAGTCAGATTGTGATGCAGACTTGACTTCCTTAGCTGACTGCACAGGAAGCCCCGGAGCTGAAGGTGCCTGTGGGCGTTGCCTCACTTAGAGTGAACATGTGCATCAGTTACTGCATGCCAACCTCTAGGGGGTTGGGGGTGGCCACCTGTTAAGAACCACCTTAAGGCCACGTGTTTAAGTTGCACCTCTGCAGCTAAAACAATCCCTGAAGGAGCTGAGCCTTAGAGGCTATCTACCGGTAGCACTACAGGCAACTGGGACAACTTATCCTTCCGGGATGCACATCTGTGTTTCTACCACAATCTAGCCCTAGTGCAACTTGAATCCACTTCCTCATATACATTCAAGGAGCAGTTCCTCCACTGTACCAGGAGGCATCTCTTCCCAGGGAAATCTACAAAAGGGGAAGTTAATAGGAAGAACTACACACCCCGCACCAGTCCCAGGGCTGCAACTGATACTCACCATCTGCTTCCTCCGCTATCCACCGAAATTTCTCCCATATCAGACCATGCCCTTATCAGACTACATGTGCTTTTGTCTTCTCAGCACTCTCTATTCCGTTTGGAATCTCTCATTGGCTGGGGGATCTCTCAGAATATCTGCATATTCTCAATCTTATTTGTAGTCAGAAAAGATGCAAATTAAAACCTCAGTGAGATACTACTACTTAACAAGGAGAATAACTAAAATAGAAAAAAGAGAGAATCCCAAGTGTGACATGGATATGTATGTAGGGGATGTCTCTTATATTGCTAGTGGGAGTCAAACTGGGACAATGATTTAGGGAAACTGCTTACATTATCTACTAAAGTTGATCATGTACATACCCATGACCCAGATATTGCTCTCCAAAGTATGTACTCTACAGAAAACGGGTCATGGAAGCCAAAAAATATTTCCAAAAATGTCCAGAGCAGCATGATTTATAAAAATGAAAAACTAGAAATAATATATTGTGATAAATTGATACAGTGGAATACTATGCAGCAGTCATACTGAATGAACCACAGTTTTTAATTCAGTAACATGAATGAATTTCACGAACATAATATGCAGCAAGAAAAACCAGATGCAAGATTCATACAGAATGATTTTATTTATATAAAGTTGGAAAGGAGACACAACTAAACTCCTGTGTTAGAGGACAGGAGATAGGAGTTACATTGAGGAGGAAAGAGGGAGTAGTGATGGGTAGGAGATCTTCTATTACACTGGACCTCAGATTTGACATGTGCTAAACTATCCACCAGACAACTGGTGATTTTCCATTGAGTATGAGGTACAGGTACTAATGTATCCCTACGGCTACAAGTCAGAGATGATTTTGTTTGCTCTGTGAGATTCCATTCATTTGAACAGGTATTCAAGTGGGTGGTCTCAGCAAATTCCACAACTATCAAGCACTGGAATGAAAAGTGTTTTGGTGATATGATTTATTTTGAGTTATCAATCAATTTAATAAGATTCGTCAAAGTTACCTCTGACCAGGTTTTGGAGAAATATAAACAATGACCCTTCTGTATGGGATTGTTAGTTGAAAGAGGACTGAAGTTTTACCCTGAAAAACAGACCTTCAGAAATGTATTTCATTAACAAAAATCTATGTGAGTGAGCACAGTTCCTAAAAATCTTCCCATTATCATCATTGGCTATGTCCATCCTTGGGTACTGAATGAAAGATGTTCCTGGAGTTCAGTAGATACAAGATTTGTAAAGAGCTAGCTGCAACTCTTTTAATGGTATAACTCAAAGATATTAGGTTTTAGCTGGAACACACACACACACACACACACACACACACCCCATAAAGGGAAGTCCAAAGAAGAGAAAAAGGGCTGAGTGCTTTTGAATCCTTTAAGGATTGATAAAGAGACACATTAAGCAAATGTTTAAGACTTTCTTATCCTGTTTTATGCATGCAATGGATATTTAATGAGTGCCCTCCATTTCTTGTGACAGGCACTATTCTAAGTGCTAGGAATAATACAGCAGGAATGAAAACACCCCAATGTCATGGAGCTTATGTTTAATTGGAAGAGACAGAATAAAAAATGTTTAAAAACCTATGTTAGAAGTAATGAATGCTATGGAGAAAAATCAAAACAAGGATTAACAATTGTGGAGAAGGGTTTCCAATTTTAAATGGGGTGATCATTAAGATGATAACATTTGAGGAAATACCTGAATGAGGTAAGGAAGTATATAAGTAAGCATGTACACACACATGCATGCACACACACTTACATGGATCGATACACCTGCAGGAAGACCAGTCCAGGCAGATGGGACAGCCAATGGAAAGGCACTAAATAGGGAAATGTTTGGCTTCTGTGAAAGAACAGTAAGAAACAGTAAGGTCAGCAAGGCTGGAGTGGAGGGGTGGTGGATAAAGTTTTAGAAGATAAGGACAGAGTCATTGCAGGGGGTCTGATCAGGTATGACCTTGCAGGCTATTATAGGACATGGGCTTTTATTCCTATTAATGTGGGAAGCTCTTGGAGGTTTTTGAGCAGAGGATAACTAACAAGCTCTGACTTACATATTGAAAAGACTACTTTGACTACTGCATTGAGTACAGACTAAAGTTGGCTGACAAGAGAAGCAGGGAGACCAGTTCAGAGGCAATTACAAGGACTCGTAGGAAATGAGGTGGCCTGGACCAGGTGTTTGCTATGAAGATACTGAGAAGGGATCAAATTCTGGATATATTTTGAAGGTAGAGACAAAGAATATTTAGTAGGTAGACTGTTATTTAGATAGTTTGAACAGCTGATGTGAGAATAACAGAGGAATGAGAAATGACTACAAGATTTTTGGCAGGAAGCACTGGAAAGATGGAGTTGTCATTTATCGAGATGCAGAAAACTGCAGAAAGTCCGTATTTGGAGGCAAGATCAGGAGCTCAGCTGTGATCACAGTATGTCTGAGACGCCTAATGGATACCCAGATAGACAGCTGAGTAAGTTTGCAGTCAAGGGAGAATTCTGGGCTGATCCTTTAAGTATGTATTAATCATGCATGTATGGGGTCACTTCTTTATTCTAGACCCTCCTATTATTTCCCAGGCTATAAACTAGGGAACTGTCAACATATGGATGGTTTTTAGAGCCAGAACGAAATATGGGATCGCCAAGGGAATCGAAGTACCTTAAAATAGAGAAGAGGTGCAAGAATAGGGCCCTGGGTGACTCTAACATAACATGTTACCAGCTCTACCTATGGGGAAAAAAAATATCCCCCAGATAGTAGACCAGGGCCACCTCGACTTGTAGGGTTCAAGATCCTCTACTTTAAGAGGTGTGAGGAGAGCTGGAGTTTACCTTCAGGGTTTGTGTCCATGTTGCTGGTGTCCTACAAAGTAGTAGGGAATCTCTACTACGTCACCTTGGGGTTGAGGACTGGAATAAAGCAAAACAAGCAGCTGTTAAATTGGGGGAAGTGATAACGCAGTGATACTCTGAAGATCCCAGGTCAAGAGGATGAAAGCTCCCTCCTAAAGAGCCAGAATTTAACTTTGAGATTGGCATAAGTTACAACTGATTACAGGAACATTGAACGAGGTGCTTCCCAGTGAACGTGAAAATAGAAAGATCTGTTTAACATTGAAGCTTTGCCCCTGTGTTCCTGAGAGCATATTGTGATAACTGTGGCCATGGAAAAAGAAAAAAAGCCAATAGCTGAAATGAATCAGGTTGTTAGGAGCCTAAGATAAGTAAGTGCAACTAGTCTACACGTGAAACATTTGTCTTGTCAATTTGGACATTTTATCTGGAAATTATCCAAAGCAGCAATTATCTAAAGCTAGCATGCTAGATTTCTTATCCCTAGAGATGGGTGGGGCATCAGGGGACAGAATCCAGGTTTTCATGGAGGTTATATAGTTTGGGAGGTCTCTCTCTCTTTTTTTAAAAAAATAAAAAGAATATAAAATTGGGCATGGGGCCTTGGAAGTGACCTATGAGAGAGATGGCATTAAAGCTGTAGTTTTCTTAACTTCACAGAAAATCCACCTCTTACCGTAAAGCTAAATGACAGAAACCTTGGAAGCAATAACTGATCACTTAATTTATCATGACCAACTTTATCTTACAAATGCCAGGAGGCATTCAGAGTTAGTCAAGCATCATAGGAAAACTCTCCTTGATGTCTATTTCTCACTTGAAGTTATTCAAATAAAAGGAAACATATTAAAGGCAATTATATAAAGGAAGGCATAGTAAATATTCTTGTTCCATGAGATACCATCTTCAAACTACCTTAACAGATGCAACAGTTGAACAATCAAGCTATGTTTGTTGATATTAGGAATACTGTGATCTGAGCCAAAGGGCCAGTGACAGCATCAGGAATGATTCACTATATCCTATATATATATGTTTACCAGATAAAATACATGATATCCAGCTAAATTTAAATTTCAAATATATAACAAATAACTTTTAGCACAAGTGTTCCCCAACATACTTATGCATAGGACCTACTTATCTTTTCCAGTAGATACTAGAATATACTAGTATATATTTCTAGTATGTACTAGAAAAGATAAACTTATCTATATTTCTAATATATGCTGGAAAAGATAAGTTTATACTAGAATTTTTAGAATCCAAATTTAACTTGGCATCCCATATTTTTATTTGCTAAGTTTACTAATGCTACCTACACTAGTTTCTGCTTTAGGATACATAATGAGTGATAATTTGGAGAGCCCTGCTAAACAGAAAATCTAAGAGACAAAGTATAATATTGTATTAGTAGGTCACGTGGTTGCTGCTTACCTTGGCCCTGACAGTTACAATTTCCCCTAAAATAATGCTCAACTGTCATATCAGAGTCTGCAAAAGGGGGCTGAGGGTTGTACAGAATTTGTGCATGTTTAATTGGCACAAAATTAAATATTAATTAGTGAAAGCTATTCACTTTTAACTAATGAAAAGGATGGAAATGCTGCTTTTGTAAATAGGCAGTATTATTGAGAACACAATATTCTGCTGTGTTCACAATATTCCAGATGGCTGAAATACAGATGCTTCTCCATTTACAATGGCATATGTCTTGATAAATCCATTCGTAAGTCAAACCATCTGTAAGTCCAGGACTCAGTGTTATATGTAATTTCTGGAAGCACAATATTGTTAAATATGTATAAAGCAGCTAATTGTGAAATCTGAGTAACGGGTCTATTTGTTCAACGGGTAATACCTTTCCTCCTTTAACATAGAAAATCGTAATATGCTTACATATTTAAGTGTAAAACCTATGTCCCAGATCATAGACAAACTTACGAGAACCATGTCCAAGTGCTTTACCATCCAACCCTTTTACTTATATATCTATGAATATTAATATATACTACTTTATAGTTTTTAAGTACTTATATACATATGTTCTCTTATTCCTTCCTCAAAAACATGATATTTTATCATCATCCCTATTAAAAATAATTTATTTTATTAATTTTTTTTTTTGAGACTGAGTTTTACTCTTGTTACCCAGGCTGGATTGCAATGGCGGCATCTCGGCTCACCGCAACCTCCGCCCCCAGGGTTCAGGCAGTTCTCCTGCCTCAGCCTCCTGAGTAGCTGGGATTACAGGCACGTGCCACCGTGCCCAGCTAATTTTTTGTAATTTTTAGTAGAGACGGGGTTTCACCTGTTGACCAAGATGGTCTCGATCTGTTGACCTCGTGATCCACCCGCCTCGGCCTCCCAAAGTGCTGGGATTACAGGCATGAGCCACCACACCCAGCCTATTTTATTAATTTGATAGACATTTAGTGGATATCTATTCTGTGCTTAGAAAACAATAGTGAACAAGACAGAAAAAGTTGGTCATTACAGAAACTTTTAGTAAGAAATAATATTTTTAAATAATAATAATAAAATTTTAGTTGGCAATATTTCCATGAAGAATAAAACAGGGCAAGAGGATAGACAGACAGTGGCTGCTATTTTAGATACGATAGTGAAAACCCATCTGAAGTGGTAACATCTGAGTCAGACATGGAGCTTATATGACGATAAGCCAGCAAATGGAAATGGGAATGTCTTGAGAAGTGGGGACATTCCTTGAAGAAGAAATAAGCCTAGCAAATGAGCTGCTTATAGAACAGAAGGAACTAGATGACTGTTTCAGAATGAAAAGGGTGTGGAAGGAGCCAAGGTCCAGATGAGACAGAAGAGGGAGACAGGGCAAGGTCACATGGAGCCTTGAAGGGCATGCTGAAGAGTTTGAGGCTTTTTGTTTTCTTGTTTTTGTTTCTATTTTTATTTTTGACTAACAAGGGTTAGTTTTGACTAATACTTGGTATAGTGTACGTGGGAGGGACCTTCACAAGAGTGTGGGTACTCAGAGGCAGGCAAGATTATTGAGGGTCATCTTGGAGGCTGCTCACTGATTATATATATATATATATATGACAATATGACAGAGTCTCACTCTATTGCCCAGGCTGGAGTGCAGTGGCACAATATTGGCTCACTGCAACCTCTGCCTCCCAGGTTCAAGCGATTCTCCTGCCTCAGCCTCCCGAGTAGCTGGGATCACAGGCACATGTCACCTCGTCCAACTAATTTTTATATTTTTAGTAGAGATGGGGTTTCACCATGTTGGCCAGGCTGGTCTTGACCTCCTGACCTCAAGTGATCTGCCCGCCTTTGCCTCCCAAAGTATTGGGATTACAGACGTGAGCCACTGCTCCCAGCCAAGAGTTTATATAATCCTCCAGTACAATGGAAGGACCCGAAGGGTTTAGACCAAGATAGTACTGTGATCCAATACATACTGAAAGGATCAATCTGGCTATTTAACCAAGAAAAATTGAATAGGAATCAGAGGGAGGAAGACAAAATGAGAAGTTTGGAGGCCACTTGTCTAGGCAATAGACGTTGATGCCTGGATCTTGGCAGTAACCGTGAAAGGGAGAAAAGTAGTCACATCTGTTTGAAAGTCGGGTCAATTGGACTTGCTGCTAAATTGGCAGGAAGAGGCAAGGGGAAGGATAACCGTATGATTTTTACCCGGAAGGTTGGTTCTATTAACTGAGATGGAAACTGATGTTCATTAAAATTAAAACACATTCCGATAATCACACTTTAAGTACCAGAGCCAAGATTCAAATTCAGTTCTTCATAATGCTCCAATATTTTGGAGTTGTTGAACTGATTAATGTCTAGTGGGTTTACTTATTTAAAAGTCCCTATTTTAAACTATATGCTCCTCAATGACAGAGACTTGGTGACATCTGAGACCTAGCCATAGGAATCAGAGGCATATGAATAATGGTTTTTTGAGAACATTTGTAACAAGATAGAACAAGTCTATCAGGTCCCATGTTTCCTACCACACTTGGTTGATTCACCATTTTTTTTTTTTGAGGCAGCTATAGATGCGTTCTATCTTATTGGCTTTGAATTCTGCTATGAAAGTACATATGTCATTTCAGAGGCCTGCAAACTTTCCCCTTCTAAAGAAGTGTATGGGTGCAATTATGAACATATGTTAGTGGAAATAAAACACATGCTAATTATTTCCCTACATGCAAAACTGTCTTGATGGAACCATCAACAGCCTTTATTTATTTGAGAAAATCAAATGAAAGAATATCTCACCAGCTATCTCATAACATTCTGTATTTGATTACCAGTTGAAATACTCCAAACTGCATATTAGATTTTTATTATTTTTAACCCTATTGGTTTTAATAACACTGCAATTCTCAATTTCTGCATGACTTTTTTCTCCTTGTAAACAATTAGGAGCCATCTGGTTCCATGGATTTCCTCATCCTCCTTAGAATTTAAACTTAACACACCAGAAGGCTTGATTCACCCAAACACTACTATTATACTATTCCACTGGTTTTCTAGTCTTGGATCTTAAACAGTATCTTCCTTAGAAAATCAGAAGAAATTTTCTCTTCATATAATCCTCTTGCTCTTTGTATAATACTAAGCTTTGAGGACCTCCTCAAAGCTATCTTGAAATGGTTTACCAAAGTAATTATTTGTTACCAACTTGCCTCTTTCTATGGCAACATACAACTCAAACTGTATCACGATATCAATCCCAGTTTTTCTAAGTACTCATAGGAGCTGGAGTTAGAGAGATACAAAAGAAAACAGATTCCCCTTGGCACCTGTTCTTATAATGTTGAGCTATGCCTGGGTACCCACTTTAATCTGAAACATCTGGCATTCCTGATACATAGGGGGAAATTTTTCTGAGAGGGCTAATGAAAACAGAGATCTTTCTCACTCAAGATACTAACCCACTTAAAACATCTTCGTTCAAATCCCTTTCTGATAAACACCAAGATCTTATCATGTGATAAGGTTCATTGATACAGTATTAAATGGCCCACTGAGACATATCCTAAGTAAAATGTTTTAGATATTTT